GACCCCCAACCCCACTGATGGGCCATGCTCTGTGCGTGACAGGGGGTGGCGCCACAACCTCCCCATCAACCCTGCCTTGAGTGTGACAGGGGCAGTTCCCCAACCCCCCAATCGGCCCTACCCTAAGCATGACTGAGGGTGGCATCGCAACCTCCCGATCCGCCCTGCTCTGTACATGAGGGGGGGCAGTGCCCCAACTCCCCAATCGGCCCTGTTCTGAGCCCGACCAGGGGCTGCACCTAGGGATTGGGCCTCCCCTCTGCCACCCGGAAGCAGGCCTAAGTCAGCAGGTCGTTATCTCCCGAGGGGTCCGACTGCGAGCGAGGGCACAGGCCAGGCTACAAATTGAACATAATTAAAGCATAGTGATTAATCACAAAAACAATATAATTATATATATGTTTTCCGATTGTCTTAGGCGACCCCTGTGAAAGGGTCATTCGACCCCCAAAGGGGTCGTGACCCACAGGTTAAAAACCTCTGCTCTAACCTAAAGAACAATCCCAGTTGCTCATAAAGGTCATCAAGGACAAATGTCTGTAATGCCCAACCCATTATATTCACAAGAGGAAACTAGGAAACTAGCATTTAACTTGGCCACCAGGGCTTTTGGAGGCTCCAAAAGGCTTCCTAAAATGTGACCTTTCTCCATGAGCCAAGCCGTGAGCCTATGAGATGAGAACCTATCACTTTTCAATACCCCATCACTGATCAGCTGTCTCTCTGCTATGTTCTCTCAACCTTCCCTGCGTTCAAGGACGGAATACTATGGAACAAAACTGTCAGGGCCAGCCTGACCGATTGAGCTGGGCTGAGGTAGGGAGGTGGGAAATGAGAAAAGAAAGAAAGACAGGAAAGTGGGATCGGAGGACTCTAGTTCTTGAGGAACTAAAGCAACTTTGTTAGCCACACAATCCTATTTATACACAACACACTGAATAGGAGGTCTGTCAAGAGGAATGTATTTTTTGTTCCTCTTAATCTCTAAGGGAGGGACAGAACAGAAGGACAAGTTCTCAGTACAGCATATCTCAGTAAATAGTTACAGACTTCTTGGTAAGCTATGAAAGGCTGTTCTCTTTCTACAAAGGTTGCTCTTATTCTATTGATAATCGCCATCCAAACAAGTCTGGGAAAATTGTGTGGGTAAGGGTCCCAGCCTTGCTAGCCCCTTCAGGTGCAAGGACCCTGCCAGCTTACATCTGGCCCCCAACACAAAACAAAAGGTATTAGTGGTTGAGTATATAGGATGGAATCCTTTACTTCCCTAGGAATTCTACCTACCCCTTTCAAGATGGTTGGTGAGCATATGTCGGCTTCACTTTAGAAAACAAAGCTAGTGGTTCACAAATTGTCTAAACAGTACCATTTCCACAACGTATGTTCAAGTGTGCCTTGTGGTTTTGCTACCACCACCCTTAAATGGAAACTCTTTTTTTCATGGTGCAGAAGATGACAGAACTTTTTGTGCTAACTTGAATAGAAAAAAAATTCTCCTCCACAGGACACCTTTAGGTTTATTTGGGGCATTGAGCCTCAAGAAGACACCTGTTTTAAATTTTTTATTTTGAAAGTATTCCACCCAGAAAGTAGTGGAGGGAAGCAGGGTACCTTTAGTCCCCAGTAGTTCTCATTTTAAAGCATGTTGGAAACACTCTTCTAACCATGCATTCAACAAGGTCTTATATGCCACTTTATCTTGGTCTGATTGTTACGGAAAAAATGATGCTTTCAGAAGACCGGAGAAAAACCAAGCAACGCCCAGAGAAATGGAGATACACTGTTTATTATGCCAGCGGGTCCAGAGGGAGATGTCTCCCAAATCTCTGAACAAAACATGGAGGAAGCTTTCCCTATTGATATCTCCCCAGCCCCCCTTTGTCTCCCAAATAAGGGTTTTCCTGGACCTACGTTAGATGACTAGCCTATAAAGTCAGACAGCCAAGTTTATCTCCTCTATTATGCAAGCAGCTAGAAAGCAAAGTTAATTTACTTTGTTATGGGGTGGGGCCACAACATTAGTAACAAAGAAATAGAATTTCCGGAAGATGAGGCCCAGAAATCAGGATTTTAAAAAGATTCCCAGGTAATTCTAATGTGCAGCCGAGGTTGAGAAACCACTAAACCATACTGCCCACCCCAACTCCCAGCAACCCCACTGATCTTTCTCTCTTCCCCAGGCTCCCAGTTTGCTGGCCAAGCTCGTCACCTCTACCCCCTCCACCAACACAACCCCCTCCGAAAGAATGCTTTTCCCTCTTCCCTAGTTACACACCTGTTCCCTCCTCCATTGTCCCTTCCTCTGGGAAATCTACTGACTGATCTAAATCGAAGGCTTCCCTAGGACTATTGACCCATCTTGTCGGCACATATCAATGTCGAAACTTCACGCTTTTTGGTGTCTGTCTCTCTCACAAAACTTTTTTTTTTTAAATATATTTTATTGATTTTTACAGAGAGGAAAGGAGAGAGATAGAGAGTTAGAAACATCGATGAGAGAGAAACATCGATTAGCTGCCTCCTGGACACTCCCCACTGGGGATGTGCCCGCAACCCAGGTACATGCCCTTGACCGGAATCGAACCTGGGACCTTTCAGTCCGCAAGCCGACGCTCTATCCACTGAGCCAAACCGGTTTCGGCTCTCTCACAAAACTTTAAGCTCCTGGAGGGCGGAAACCGTGCCTAGTTTTGCTGACCTCAACCCCTAGCCCTGTTCCCAACACAGTAAATGGTCAATACATTTCTACGATGACTTAAATAAATGTATTTGTACCTCTGCCGCTTTCTCTTTTCTAGCCCGGTTAGTCCAAACAAACAAAAAACAACACGGCGATTCTCACAGACTCCCAAGAGGTCGCGTTGGTACTAAATCCGCCCTCCACCGCGTCCCGCTGCTCCTGTCTCAGGAGATGGGTCCCGCAGAACCCTAGTTCGGGGTCGGAACCCGAGGAGCCGAGTGCAGACCAGCCTGACTGCTCCCTTTTTACAAGGCGGGGAGGAGACATGGGTGTGCTTGGAAGATCGCAAATTCTCTCCCAGGGACATCACACCATGCCTCCCACACGTCGAGGCTCCCTCCTCCTCGTCCAAGAAGAAGGAACATTGCCGGGTCCCCGCGAGGAGCCTAGGAACCGGGCTTCCACCCGAGGAG